TAAAACATCTGTTTCCTTTGTATTTGGACCATACTCATTCTAGCCCAATATCATTCCCAATAACCTGTTTTTTCTTGATTAAGCCCTCTCACCTCATATTTGACTTCATTGGCCAAACCAGGACGGATGATCACCCTAAATATAAAGGAATTAGCATGCATACCATATGAGGAAAGGTTGAGAAAACTACATAGGTTTAGCTTGGAGAAAAGATTAAGTGAGGACATGATAGCAGTTTTCAAATATTTGGAAGGTTGCTATAAAAAAAGAGAATAACTTATCTCCCTCGCTGTAGAGGGCAGGGCATAAACAGTGGGTTAAACTACAGCAAAGCAGATTGAATCTCAGAAAAACCTTCCTTATCTTGAGAACGGTAGAGTAAGCTGCTTAAGAACGCTGTAGAATCTCCTTCATCAAAGTGTTTAAAAAGAGGCTACTAAATCATTCAGCAAAGTTAGCTGAAGAATCTTGCATTTATGCAGGAAGTTGGACTAGATGACCCTTGAGATCCCTTCCCGACCCATTGATTGTAAAAGATAAGAATACATTGGAAAATCAGATTACTGCCTAATTTATATGCCAGTCACCTCTGTTTATATAGGCAATTCCCATGGCTCATTTTTGCCATTCTGTTTCCTCCAGGCCAGTCATATCTACTGGAGTTTAAATACATCTCTCCCCCATTTTTCCTTCCAAATGACTGCTTACACCTTTCAAATGATGGCAAATGTTGATCAAACTTTTGAAAGCTTTTTGCAGATAGGCAGACCAGGTTCTTTGGGTGAATCTGATGTATTTTGTTTGACCAAATTAAATAGTTGGAAAAAAAAATTGGCAAGCTTTTGGGTTTAAAAACCCTTCATCTGAGGCTGAGGAAGTCTCTGCAGTTGGTGTGTGCTCTTCCTGGATGGAATGAATAGTAAAGGAGCCAGAGGCTGGGCTGGCATGCATACAAGACAGGTAATCAGTGAAGATGTAAATTGAGAAGTCAGTGGGTGAGAGACAGGCTGGGTAGGGGGGAGCAGGGGGATGAATGTAGCAGTTAAATAGTGGAGAGGTACCTGGAGAGTTAGATGTCAAGCAGGTTATAATGTGTCATACATTTTGCAGATAGGGCACATGATTGAACTTCATTGAAATACACAGAAGTTTTGGGAACTGGACTAAAAGAAAACAAAAACAGCAGTGTCTAATTAGAGGCTAAATGGGTTCCAAAAAAGAGATGGCTAAAATAAATGATTACAACCTAGGCCTTGACGTGTCTCCACCCACTCAACTACCTCCCTGTCTGAAGTTTTTATAGTCACTAATAGTACCAGCCACAGATAAGTGACCAAAATAAGAGAACTGGTTTGGGCAGAGATCAGGGTGTAGCAAGAGCTGGCTAAACACATACTGTCTCAGCTCCTAGTGTACATTACAAGGAGGCAACATTTGAAACTCTTAGTACTTCTTAGGCAAAAAACCGTCACTGATTTGACTGAGAATTTTGTTTGATTCACTGATTCAGCAGGTATATGCTTAAATTCCACTGGATTCATTGGTGTTTTGATGAATCAGGGATACAAATAAAGACTTTAGGGATTGGCTCCAGCAGATCTGGATGGAAAGCTTTGAACTATGGAATAAATTTCTTTAATGTATCCAAGGGACTTTAGTTTCATAATGCAACATCTCCTGTTTTAATGAGTACACAATAATAACAGGTTCATGTTTTCATTGATGGCCTCATTTTTTTTCTGTGGAGTTATTTACAGCAGAACAAAGAACAGGCTCCATACCCAGTTAGGTGCAAACATTTTATGAAATACAGGAACTGTCTCTGCTCAGTTATGGTACTGAGAATTTTTGGAGTGGGGGATATTGTAAGTATGAAAACCTTTACATTCTTGTAGAATTAAGCCCCAAGAATATAAAGATCACAAGTTCTTTTGTGCTGTAACAGCCTCATATAATATTACCAGACACGTTTTAAGTATTGTTTATTTTTTACATATTTCCTTATGTATTTTGAAAATGTTTAAAGTGCTAAACAAACTGTGAGCTTTAAATACAAATCAAATCAGCCTTTTTTTCAGAGTAAACAAATCAAATTACAAAGAATCAGCCCAGCTGTACTATAACATAGAATTCACTTTTTAAGGCAGAGGTAGGCAGTGATAAATTAATAAGGACGGGAGGAAACAGAGAACCTGTATAACAGCCCTTTCTGCTTTTTGGTAAAAGTCTTTAGCATCAGTGGAAATTAGTTAGATTGCATGTTAGTTGGTCATAGGAGAAGAGAAGATAAAACATGGGAGTAGATTTGTTGACTAAATTACAGTGCTGTAGTACTTATCAACACTGTAGCTAAATT